TTGCGAAAAACTCAGGAAAATTCAATAAATCTGCATACTAATTTGCAATTTTATATTCAGATTTTTAAGCAACTTCAAACCTGCACTTTGATAAACTAAAATTGCATGGATTATTAAACTGCATACTTGGAATTTTTCTAAAAAATACTTTGCCTATATTGCGTAAAATTTACTGTGCCAATACTTTTGTTCGTTACTGTAAGTTTAAGGGTTTATTTACCCTTAACTTTAAAAAACCAAAAAAAAAATTTACAATATTTCAAAATTATTTTTCGAATCATAAATTTTTTTATGATTAACAATGTATTTATATTTTTTTTTGGTTTTAGATCCTTTTTGCTTTCAACACGAGGTATCTTTTTTCTAGTTTCTATTGTCATAGCCATAACTCACTCTCTATTTTTATCAATCAATCAATCAATGAATCAATTTTATAATTTTTTTCGGCATTTTTCCTAATTACAAGTAGAGCTTTATAAAACTTTTATACCACCAAATGTTTATCAAGCTTGGGATTTTATGTTATCCGGGCAGGCTTATTAATTTAGCCAGAGAATATGTTTTCTTTATAAAGTTTACCCAGTTACCCATTTTAAACTGCTACCTGTACTGTATCAGCGGTTAAAACTTGTTAAGTTTTTATTTAAAATTTTCGGTAAGGAATAAGCGAGTGGATGAAAAATATATTAACCGTAAAAACGGCCCATATATATGTATATGAAAGAATACACACATGCGACGCTCTAGCCATTGTGTGTCATTCCTTTAAATCATAGTTATTTTTTTCTTATGGTATTAAAAAAATAACGTTCGTAACACTTTAGTAAATATTAATCCGTATATTAACTGAGTATATATTAAAGACTAGAACATGACCCGGTGAACTTCATATCATCTATAATTTATTTGAATTTAACTTTGATCAATTATAACAAATCTTCAAAATCCAATACAATGAGATCACTAATACTGCCTGCTGTTATAGCTGATAAAATATTCCACACCTATAAGATGTGCCACGCCCCTTTTTACAAACTCATTTATATACATATATCTTTCCATAAGCACCTAACCTAGGTATCTGTGCATTTCAAATTTCGAGTTCATGTGACTATAATTCCGAAGTTAGAGCTGATTAAAAATTTTCACTATGGGAGGTATCCCTCATCCCCTCCCCCCCTTGGCGAGTTTCAATTTTTTTACCCTATTATAGGTCCAGGAGTCATGGCAATACTTTGGCAAAATTTTATTCGATTCTGTACATCCGTTCAGGCTGCAACCTGGTACATACATACATACATACTTCCACAAATATATAGTAGATTTGCTTTGAAGCGCCATCTTGCGGTTCTTTAAATAAAAAATAGATATCAGAAATGAATTTTTCATATCACAAAACTCCCGAGCACAATTCTTTATTACTAAAAAAACATTCCTAACACTTTAGTAAAAATTAATCTGATTATGGACTTAGTATTAATTAAAAATAATTTCTTTTAAAATTGCGCAGGCTCGAAATTGATTTTAGAGCTATGGTCTAAAGGGCTTTTTTTCTTAGAATTTTATGTAGAATCCGAATCTGCTAGGAACGATGTCGAAAAAAAAAATTGACCCGCCCTAATGGACATGTGTATAACCTAATAAACAGGAATGTGTGAACAACCTAAATGAATAATATGTACATAAATTTCTTTGCAAATTACATCTAAACTTATGCAAACAACCGATTTTAATACGTACTTAATGGGCCGTATGCATAAAACATAAGCAAATGCTTTTTCTTAAAATTTCAGACCTTTTACTCGAATTTTTTCAAATAAATATGAGTGAAAGGTAGACATTTTAAGAAAAAGCAATTGCTTAGTTTTTATGCATATGGACCAATTTGTGATACATAGTAGTTAATTATGAAAATGAAACAACGTTATATGAATACCGTACTACCACTTAGGAAGGGTGAAGAAACAATAGATTTGTTCCACACGCGCCCGCGGGATCCCGCTGGTGCCCAAAACAGCCGAGAGAGCGTTCCTCACGCTTTAAAAATGGGTAATAGAGAGCGAATGCGTTCCAATTCTGGATCGTAAATGTCTTCTTCTTCGTGCCCGAAACAGCCCGGACTTTTCTTCCGGGCACAAATATGCAAAAAGTTAAATTGCCATAACAGCTGTTGTGGAAATGGAAAATGCCACAGAAGTTTCTAAAAATGTAGTTATTTGGTAATTTTATTCGCCATAAAGATAAATACACATAAAATCATTGTTTAGAACTGATTTGCTGATTCCGGGCACGAAATGTGGTTTTTTGCGTCCTCACGCTCTGGGCACTTTTGGTACGTGTTGACACATTTTTGACACTTGTGAGAGTATAACTTATTTTTACACTGTAACTACCGAAACAGCCCGGAAAGTGTGTGAAACAAAGCTAATTCTAGTACATCAAATGGCCCAGAAAGCAAAACGCTAGAAAAATTGGTAATAGAGATGGGATATGTTCTACTTTGGGATCGCAAACGTATTCTTCTTCGTGCTCGAAAGAGTCCGGAGTTTGTTTCCGGGCACAAAGGGAAAATGCCGCAAAAGTTTCAGAAAATATAGATATTCGCTCATTTTATTAGCCATAAAATCATGGTTTTTCTTTCAGATTCTCCGAAAATAAAAGCTAAGCAAATGTTGCAGCTGCTCTAATTGAAGCAAGTGTTTGAAATCACAAAAGCAAAAACAAGTGAAGCAGATGCGTTTTGATTCCCGGCAGGAATTGTGGTTTTTTGCGTTCCTCATCTCTGGGCTCTTTCGGCACATTTTGACACTTGTGAGAGAGTAATTTATTTCTACACTCTAATTACCGAAACAGTCCAGAAAGCATGTGGAACAAAGCTATTATGTTGCAAACTGACAGTTTTCAAGCATCCGTTCATGCAATCTGACTCACGTCAGACATACCTACATAGCTATCCACGGTTGGCTTCTTCGTGTTTACTTATAGGGTAAATTACGAAAATAGTTATAGACGGAGAGCTCATGACCAAAAAACTCATCATACTTCAGATCGATTGAATTTTTTTGTGAGCTTAGCTTGTTAATATATAAATCGAGATCTGGAGGGCTGGCTGCTAAACAGCGGTCTTTATTATGCGTTTTTAGCGATTAAAGATGTCTATGAAAACCGAATACTCAACATACTTCAGACGACTTGAAATTTAGATAGAATTTTATTTACAGTGTATATAAAATGAATTCAACGTTGCCTGCCAATTCTGATGGTCTTAAAGTACTGCCAGCCCATGTTGAAATTGCATTGTTGCAACTGTGAAACAACATACTTCAGATGGGCTGCCCTTATCACAGGACGTTATTAAAATTATAAATAGATGAAATGTCTACAGCCAGCCCGTTCTGATGGTCTTAAAGTACTGCCAGCCCATGTTGAAATTGCATTGTTGCAACTGTATTCATAGGGCCAGTTTCACAATCTAAACTTAAGTTGAACTTAAGTTCTAGTTGAGAAAAATCTTAGCTAAGAACAGTTTAAGATTTTGTTCAAGCTTGCATTTCACAATGCATACTTAAGTATGGAAAATATATTGTTAAAAAGTATGGCAGGACCACAAAAAATGCTTTGTTTACATGTTTTGACATTTCTTCAAATACAAAACAACTGAGGAGATAGTGTATGCGGTTTATGTAAAGTGTAATATTTGAGCAAAGGAATATAAAATATCGAACTATATATTAACAAAAATGTCATAAAATAAGAGGAGAATAAATTTAGGTCGAAATGAAATTGATTTGCTGGTGTGCCTCTACGTATTCCGAATCATTATCATCTTCCCAACTCAAATCAAAATCCATTTTGTGCCTTTACTTTATTTTTCCGAAAAATCGTTTTGCTTCTCAATCAAAATTTATCATAAGCATCTGTTTGCTAAATCAGCTGTTTTGTCGACTTTGTTTACTTTTAGTCGCCGATAGCCGCGACTTAAGTTTAACTTAAGTTGAACTTAAGATTTGCTCAAAAAGTGGTTGGTGAAACGCAAAATCTTAAGTTAGACTTAAGTTCAACTAAAAAATGTATTGTAAAACCGGCCCTCAGTTTTGCTAAAAATCGGACTGTTTTAATTATACACAGCGGTCATAAAAACGCCGTTTTGGAGGGCTAAAATTATCTAAAAAAAATTAAAATTACAAAATGTCGATCAAATTTGATCGAAAACATAAAGATACAAATTTAACGATTATTCTCGATCAATATGAAAAAATAAATATTTCGCAATGATCTAAAAATAAATAATAAACGGTTATATGCGATCCCTGCGCAATAAATAAGGTGCAGTAGTTAGACAGCGTTCCTTGTTTATTTTTTGATATCCGGCTATCCTATAGAGACAATCAGAAATGTGTTGTAAATCACACCGATTTCAAATTCTACGATCTGCAGAACGTGCCTGCATGTTGCTTTCACATCAGATGAGAACGTTGAATGTTTCTACGGGGTTATTGCTTCTGCTGTAAAATTGTAATGTCTTCAATTCTCCGTTAATATTTTCTTAAAAACCACTTTCTTTTTTCATAGTTAAATCCAGTTATGTAACTATTTTAAGCATTGGTGTATGATTTTACCTACATATTATTATAAACAAACTGAGATTTGTCGCTGAAATAGTGTTGTATGAGTAATTGCTAAACAAAGTGGAAATGAGTAAAGTAGCAAGGAAGACCTTCTGTCGTATGAAGCACAGTTAGTAATTATTGGCATCAATTTTTTTACACACAAAGGAGAAGGGATGGTAACCACGTTTTTTATGATTATGGATTTCTTTCAGCAAACAAGCGTTTTGTGTACATTTAAATATGAGTGTATAAATATATAAATACATACCTATGCATACAAAACTTACTAACTACTCGAAATATTTAGATATTGAATTGTAAATAATATAAGTAAGTATGCAGATACATAGATTTCGTTTTGGAGTTGAAAATTGTTCATTATGACTTTACCTTGCAAGAATTCCCAACGCTTCGCTTCGGTCCGCGACTCGAGGGAGTCGAAGACTGCCGCACCAATGAGCAAATAAGTGAATGTACAGACGACCAGCGATAGAGTACGAACGTTCTGACGCTTCATAGTAAATCTGAGACGTGTTGAACTACAAATTGATTCTGGAACGAGCTATGTATATTATTGGATTATCAATAATTGTCAACTCTAAATTTCTCCAGATATTTATTTCTTGTATTTGTGCTCTTCAAACTTGTAATAATTTAAAGTTTTAAAAAATTTCGTACCTAGTGGACTTCTTGCAGCTGCGCACCGAAAAACAATAGAAGTAAAAATCAATAATAAAATTCTATCTGCAAACACCCAGCCAGCAAAATGACCGTAAACGTACCCGAAAGCACAATTGCAGTCGAAGAGTTGTCAAGAAAAGTACCTACAGAAAGTTATTGTTGAGCGGATATTCCGTCTGGGGATTTTCTATTTGTTTGACTAATTTTTTAATTCTTTGAAAGACTACTTTATATTTTACGAAGAGTTTAAAAGTACTTAAAATCGTACATCCACGGAAATAAGCCAAGCTGGCATTACTTAATAAACTTTTGCATTTCGTCTTGATCATCATTGAAAACAAAACTAGCAATTCGGAAATCTGCGTTTTTAACAGCCAATGGGACTGTTTTGCGTATAAGAAAATCTGATTTTTTAACGGGCTCGTTTATACCATACATACAGTGACTCAAACAAATGATCACGTGTTGATTTTATTCAAATATTCGCAATGTTTTTCGAAATAATTTATTTTTTTTGATATTTTTAATAAAAATATCGTCTAAGCTTTAACTAAACCCGTGTAAATCACAGTTTCAAACTTTATACAAAATTTAGAAAAATTCAACAAATTTTCATCAAAATTTCAACTTGTAGGTATGCAGTTTTATAGCCTATACAATTTTAGTCCAATGAAGTGCAAGCTTAAAATGGCTAAAAACACGCGTTGATTTTTGAGAATTTTTTTTTCGGTGACGGATTTTTTCACTTAGCCCAACATAAACTCAAGTGAAAAGAGGTGCACGAAGAAATTACGTTATATTTGAAATCCGTAACTCTCACTACGGTGTTATTACAAGTTGTATTTATATTGTATATTGAATTCCCCCGAAATTTAAAGCCATTCCTCGATTCCGCCGAGAAATCAAATTCCACCAAAATAGGAGAATTCTCCCGCGGTTACAAGACTAACTGTACATACCTAGATCGAGCTCAGTGTACCAAATGTACCTTTTGGTTACAATTGTACCTACGTTTCCATCCCTGCTTTAATCACGTAAATCGGGTTACACATATGTATGCATATTAGCGAGGCCCCATTTCAATTTATCGGATTTTGTTATGTCGCACCCCTAGATCGGTGAATTATCATGAAAAAACGTGTTATCCAAAAATCCAGGTCAATCGGAGAAAGTTGAGGCGTGCCGACCGCCCCCCAAAATTTGAACTAAATTTCATATTTTAGTTGTTAATGGTTTTAATAGTACATATACGTAAAAATAAAACATTAGTAATAAAAGTTGTAAGTTGCTACAAAGCAAATATATTTACTTGAAATATGTTTTCGTATTAAGCTAAGACTAAATTTTGGCGAGTTTACGCCCATGCAAGAGGTATTGCTTAGATGTACAATTTGCTTATTTACGTTACAATGGCAATAAATTTTCCTTTGTGCAGTTGCGATAACAAGTTGATGCTCAAAAGTCTATAACCGGTTTTTCCCCCTAAGAATGATGTACATATCCAAAAGGGAAACATAATATAACTTTTATAAAATTATTCCATTATTTTGTGTACTAAGGGCCGGTTGTTCAATGTCTGGTTATCACTACTTGCCGGTTAAACATCATTATTGATGTTTTCGACATCACGCATATAACATGCGATCGATAAAGCAGTCGTTGTCTTAATCGGAGCTTCTACCTCCGATTAGTGCTAATCAGACATCGAACAACCGGCCCTTAAACTGTTTAAGGGCCATTCCATGGAAAAGAGGAAAACGACATAAATTTCAATTTGCCCTAATTATCTCTATTTCAGTAGTGACCTCTTTTTGAATGACTACATTTCATTAACCTGTAGGAAAATATTAAAGAAATCAAAAGAAGTTGTAATTTTTGTCTATGGAAACGTTTTTTGCATTACTTTACACCAGTAGTGTCCAACCGGTAGCTCGCGGGCGCCCGCAAACAAGAAGATGAACAGAATATTTTGTATTGAATTGAATAGTTTAACAATTGGAAGCTTTTTTGGTACATAACCAGGCTTTTATTTTTGAATTTTCAGGAACTCATTCACTTCTTATCTTTCTATGCTAGACATTAGAGTGGCCTTTTTTGGTCGATTTTCGAAAACCGAAAGTTTTCGCACGAAAAAACATGAGGTTGGCAAGGAAAATAAATATGAAATTTGTTTTTTCCGGATCCGGAAATTCCGAGTGGTTCCGGGTTAATCATTTTGATTTTTTAATAGGAAATATGTTGAAATTGATATTATTATTTTACATTTTCAGCTTTTACGACCATGCCACCCAATTTTTTATTCCTGAACTGTTTTTTATTGAAAACTGAATACATTTACCTTTTTAAAATGCTCAAAAAGTCTGAAATTGATTGAAAAACCATGGTACACGATAATATTAAAGCCGAGAAAAATATGAAATCATCATTTATATCAATATATGATTTAATGTCTAATAATAATAATATTTAATATCATTTTAAATAAATCATAAGTAGTATTTTTCTAATATATACTTAAAAAAAAGAAATGCAAAATAAAAGAAATTGGTGTAATTTCGACATTTTTGGTCGAAAAAGCTCAACCCGGAACCTCTAGGAATCACCTGAGGGCTTTTAAACTAATTACGTATTTATTTATATCCCCAACCTCACATTATTCTGTGCGAAAACTTTTGGATTGATGTATTTCAAATTTTTCATACAACAAAAAGGCCACTCTACTAGACATGTTTCAGGATTTTCAAAACAAAAATAGCGTAATCTCAGCAATAAAAAAGTGTCGTTATCTGATGACCTACCAAACGATATTCATGGCCAAATAAAAAGCGATTTCAAGAAATGTGACTAGGTTTCCTTACAAATGGATGAGTCGACCGATGTTTCAGACTCTCCGCACTTATGAGTGGTATTTTCTGATTTTCCTGCTAGTCAATCTGACTTTGGAAACTCGTACTCGAGGGCAAGATATAAGGTTTGTTCGTCGAAAATCCAGCAAGAATTATCCAACACTCAAAACATCAGAGAGTAAGAAAAAATTCTCTCAAATTCTCTCTCATGTTGAGAAACTTGCAAATTTCTGCACGAACGCAAATTTGCAGGAATTTGCAAGTTTCCCTGCCAGCTGGCGTCCACGGTTGCATTTCAAACATAAACAATTTTTATAGAATTTTTAAAATTCGTTCGGATGGCCAAAAAAAGGATACATATGTATATTTGTTGTTGTTCTGACTTTCTTTAACATACATTTCAATTTCTTCATCGTACTAGCTGTCATATCTATCGATTCAGGGCCAAATTTTGCCGTTTTGTTAATCAATCTCCGAAGAAGGTTTTGCAGATCGCATCGATCTCAAATCGTTCCCATTACCATTCCCATATGTTTACAATAAAATGAATGCTCTTTATTAAAATATTATGCACTGTTATTAATTTAACTTAACTGTATAAACTTTAATAATAAATAAATATTTTAAAAAGATCAGTTAGTAGAATATATACATTGAATATAAGAGTGAAACGAGTTAACGCAGTTAAGATTGAAGTTAAGCTAGCGGTGCCCGCGTATTATAGCGATAGTTTCAAAGTAGCCCTTTGTCCAAGTTCTGTTGGACACCACTGCTTTACACCAATCACAAGCATGATCCAGCTACACAAGATCTGACAAGATGAAGCAAAAGAAAAAAGTAATTTTCTGGCTGACGTTTGTAATTTCGGCGCCATGTTATTTTCTTTGAAAAGTAAACAAAGTATATGAAGACGAAGCATAAAGAAAAAAATGCAAGCAATTTTGTAGCACATGTTTGTGCTAACCAATTTTTTA